GTCCAGTTTTGGAGTCTTGTGCCCAGGCACAAGACACTCAGACACTCAGTGCCGGCACAGGCACTTTACATTTTCTGGCAGATGCGGCTGCCGAGATCCTCGGCAAGCGCGATCTAGGGCAGCCGCATCTGCCTGAAACCGGATCTTCCTCTGAGCTGCAGGCAATTTGTGCTTGTTTACAGGTGCCCACAACTCAGAGGAAGGGTCAGGTGGCAAACCAGCTGCAGCAGCACAGCGTCAGTCCGGAATTTCATGCAGAGACTCACAGCACGGCCATCCCTGGAGGGCGGAGCCCAGGATTCCAACACAGCAGCAAATGACACGCCCACTACAGGAAGCTGCCGGGATGAACGTCACATGGATGAAAGCCACGCCCCTAGAGTGACAAGCCAACACAGGGGACACCCAGGGTACCACCCACTCCGCAGCTGTATGGTATGTATACTGACATCACTTGCGACTTAAATGTAATTATCTGAGGATCTAGTCCATGTAGACCTGTAGCAGTGATTTATTTATAAATACGTGTGTCTGCAGTGTGTATTCGTGTAGATGGGTTCAGGGGTCATCAATAAATAATGTCATTAAAAGAGACCCTGTCACCTCAAGCATATCTAAAAACTTTTTTTTTAATAGAGTAGGTAAGGGTTAAAATTAGGGTTGCACAGATACCAAGTACAGTACTCGGTACAAGTACGAGTACATGTGCCGATACTTTTGAGCTCCAAGAATACACTAGAGACAAAGTCAAAAATTAGGAGGCAGCTGTCATTTGTAAGGAGCACACGGAGCTCCAGGGATTTGTACATCTCTGTTTTAATGTATGATTTTGTTTTTATAAATGTACATAAAGGGATGCACTGATACCAGTTTTGCAAGTACGAGTACTGATACATTTTTGTTTATTGTCATGTGACAGTTTTTCTAAAACAATACAGACTAATGATTTCAGGACAGTGGTGGAGTGCCAGAGCCAGGTCCCAGCTGCAACCGCTGCAACACTGGTAGTTCTCATGAAAATGCCAAGTATCGGCACTGGCACTCGAAAAGTATCTGTGCAACCCTAGTTAAAATTATTTATTGGGTTTTTTTTGCTATTCTGCATCCCACTCAAGAGATTTCTCTTTACTTCCTGTCATGTAGAGCAAATCTCTCCAAAGCATACTTCCCAAATTTATAAAGAGGGATACTGGCACCAGGTGCTGGAACATGCAACCCTTTACCTAGGTGCTGAGACATTGGAGAAACCTGGGGACTGGTTGAAATCCCAGGACAGTCCGGTAGAAATCAGGATGGTTTGGCGCTATGCCAAAGTGAGGTAAATCTTGCCATTCTGTGTCCCATTCATAAGATTTCTCTTAACTTCTTGCCCTATACAACAGGAAGTGAGAGCAAGTGAGAGCTCAGAGAAAGGGACGGGTTTTAGGCAGATGCGGCTGCCCGAGATCGTGCTTGCCGAGGACCTCTGCAGCCGCACCTGTCATTGCCTTTTCCTCCTCTAGCTCCCTGACACCGTGCTGCCCGCCTATGGACCCCTGGTGAGACACCATAGCCAAGACAGCCCTGAGAGTTGCACCGCCCACCTGAGAGTCGCACAGCCCACCTTAGAGTCACACCACCCACCTGAGAGTCCGCACAGGCCACACCGTCACCTGGAGACATCACGGTGCCAACCCAGAACAGCACAGAGTATGTAGCTCCATATTATTTTGTACTGCTGTATAATGTGTTGCTGGGATTTGTAGTCCTCTATAGCTGGTCTCCTTACTCCCTCCCTTGGCTGCCTCTCCTCGCTCTCTCCTCTATATTCCAAAACATTAATTGCCGCGCGCTGCACTAGAGTGTTCGGGTTTCACTTAAAAAAAAGAAGGTGGCAACCCTATCCATACCCCTCCTGAGACCCTGCACAGCTCTCCTGAGATCCTCCACAACCCTCCTGAGACCCTCCCCTGGAGACATCAGGCTGGCACCCTGAAGCAGCACAGAGTATGTAGCTTCATATTCTAATGAATGTGATACATGTATAAATAAGGGGGCACTAAAGTGAAACAAGGGCCCAGGAGATAACACAAATGAATGTGTTCCCACAGATGCTTTGGGGCTGGTCGTTTTTTCCAGCGCAGCCCCAACGCAAGACAAGGCAGTTTGCCTTGTCACAGATGAGCATGGTTCACACAACTATTTTGGTGTGCGCTGAAAAAGAACTCTACATGCAGTACTTTTTTTTAGCACATCGGGATGCGGTGTGGTACAACTGCCTCACACCACACGGTGCCCATGGAACTTAATGAAATGTCACTTGTGACAGTTCAATAATGTTCTAAAAAAAGTAAAAATCCAATGCTACAGTTGTCACTAGAGCAACAGGAGAGGGTTAAGGTGCCCATACACTGGCTGAACATTTGGCCAGTGTATGGGGCTGTCGGCTCCCTTTCAGCCGGCATTCCTTGATCAGCTTATCGAAGGAGCTGGCTGGAAAATCTTTGTACAATCAGTGCCGGCGGCCAATGAGCTGCCTGCTCTGATCGGGTATTCTTACAGGTGCTGTCGGCACCTGTAAGAATACAATGCAAAACAGTGGCGATTCCTCCATCGACACGCTGTTTGTGTTGATGGAGGAATTGCGTCAATTTCTTCCGCTCAGCCCGCGTGTTGAACAAAAGAAATTGACAGGTGCATTGCCAGCTTAAGGGTTCATGTTGGTGAGCTTTCTAGCCAAACACTGCACTTTCTGTTCAAACACATGCAGCTGCATTTGAATGGAAAATGCAGTGTTTGACAAGAATAGGCTGCATTTGACCTGCGGTTCAAACGCACCGCAAACGCACCGCAATGGGATACACTGCATCCAAGGAAACACAACACAAAGCTGGTTAAACGCAGCCTCTGACCCGCCATGTGTTGGGATTTTGCTGTCCTGTATTTGGCCTGTGCTCCAAATGCACATCAACTGCAGGAAAACAACACCTGTCTAGGTAAATTTTGCTATTAGATAGTTGAAAGATTTGCGGTTCATGTAGATGAACCGCAAATCTTTCAACTATCTTATAGAAAAATTTACCTCACTTTGCCGAAATTTCCCTTTGTGTCTTCTGGACAGGAAGTGAAGGGAAATCTCCCAAACAGGACGCAAACCTCAATTCACAAAGTTAACATGCCAGGATAAGAGTACTTATTTTAAAATTACAAAACTATATCCTTCTTTGTGTGTTAAAACTTTGTGAAATGAGCCTACACACAGCAGAAAATGAACCAATGGGGGTCTTAACTATTCCCTAAATAGAAAAAAAGTTTGGCTATACATTTATTTGAAAATGCAGAAATGAGGGGATACTGATACTTGTGATACAAGATGAAATAAAGTGACTAATGTGGGGATGAAGGGATATTAATGTGACACATAGAGAAATAAGGGGAAACAAATGAATGTTACAGAACAATAAATGTGAGACTGGCTCCCAAATCTCTCTAACACCTGCAGATTTCCTGAATTGCGGCAACGTTCAACACAAAGAATCCTATTATTTTCAATGGTACTATGTTCAGGTGTAAATGTCGGCAAGTTTTTGTTTTATACCTCTCACTGTCCAGTATACAGTACCTAAATAACTGGCAGCACACAAGCCCTGATGAAGGGGGATCTGTGAGCCCCCAAAACAAGTTGACTATGTCTTCAGATTTGTTGTCTAGATCAGCCTTTCTCAACCAGGGTGCCTCAAAATAGAAACCAATGACACTAATCCAGGGAGGGTGGGATCCATACAGAGGAGGTTGGAAGTTCACCTCAATCCTCTCATCCAATCCTCGTCAACTCTTTTCCACTTGTAACTCTCTACTATGTCCCCCACCGCTAACACCAACCTCACCACTTGGCCCCTGGACCCTGTTCCCTCACCACTACTTCAGTCACCCTCTTACTCTATCCTACACTCTCTAACTCACATTTTCAATCTCTCACTCTCTACTGGCATCTTTCCCTACCCTCTGAAGCATGTCCTGGTCACCCCGATACCCCAAAAAACCATCAATGGACCCTACCAACCTTAACAATCTCAGACCAATCTCCTTACTCCCATTCAACACAAAACTCCTAGAATGCCTTATCTACAGCTGCCTGAGTCGCCACCTCACTGATAACAACTTTCTCGACCCCTTACAATCTGGCTTTCGCCACCTACACTCCACTCAAACCGTCCTCCTAAAACTCACTAATGACTTACTAACAGCTAAAAACAATGGCCACTATTCCTTACTCTTGCTATTAGACCTTTCTGCTGCCTTTGACACTGTGGACCACCTGCTCCTCCTCAAAAAACTCCACTCACATTGCCTACAAGACTCTGCTCTCTCATGGTTCTCCTCTTACTAAGCGCTCCTTTAGTGTCACCTACAAATCTAACTCCTCCCCTCCTCTTCCTCTTTCTGTAGGGGTCCCCCAAGGCTCTGTCCTTGGACCCCTTCTCTTCTCTATCTACACATCCTCTCTTGGTCAGTTAATAACCTCACATGGCTTCCAATACCATCTCTATGGTATGACACTCAAATCTACCTGAATACTACGCAACTCACCCCCTCAGTGTCCTTGCGTGTCACTAATCTACTAACTGACATATCAGTCTGAATGTCACAACACTTCTTAAAACTCAATCTTTCAAAAACTGAGCTTATGTTATTTCCTCCCACCCGTGCGCCTTCCCCCAACTTTTTCCTTGAGATTGTTAACACTCCCCCCATACCAAGGTACCATACCAATTCAGCTCTCCCCCCATACCAAGGTCCTAGGTGTCATCCTTGACTCGGACCTCACCTTTCTTCCCCACATCCAATCACTATCCAAATCCTGCCGCCTTCACCTTCATAACATCTCCAAATACGTCTCTTCCTCACCAAGGAAAATTACTCATCCACTCACTTGTTATATCTTGACTATTGCAACTCCCTCCTCATTGGCCTACCTCTGCACAGGCTATCCCCAGGGGCGTATCTGCCGTGAGGCAAACAAGGCGTTTGCCTGGAGCGGCAAATTCCCAGAGGGCGGCAATTGCTGTGGTCGAGAGAAGGGGAGAGAACCGGAGGCCATCGTAGCGGTGGGGACGAGGACGGCCGGCGGGGACGAGGACGGCGGCTTGTGTGAACGTGGACACGGCAGGCTTTCGGCGGTGTCCAGGCAGCGGTCGACGGTGCTTTGACTGCTTGCTCCGGTGAGGCTTGTGCTGATGGGGAGGCTGCGGCGGCACATAATGTCACCCCGGGGGGTGGGAGGCTTGTGCTGATGGGGAGGCTGCGGCGGCACATAATGTCACCCCGGGGGGTGGGAGGCTTGTGCTGATGGGGAGGCTGCGGCGGCACATAATGTCAGCCCCCGAGGGGGGGGGATGGGTGCTGATAGTGACGGTCGGCCAGTCTGTAATGTCCGTAATGTCAGTACAGGGGGGGCTATTTCTATTTTCAATAGCCAATAGCTATTGCACCCGCCCTCTGCTGCTGTCAGTCAGTAAAGGAGGGCCTGATGGAGAACTTCAGGTCCACTTCTGCTGATTGACAGTAGCAGTGGGCAGGTGCAAAAGCTAGTCTGCTATTGACTATTTCAATTTGCAATAGCCAATAGCAATCTAGCTATTTGTTCCTATGCTGGTTTTTTTTTCTTCTGACTGACGGAGGCCGACGGCCCCGATGTCCAGAAAAAAAAAAATAGCAGAGAAAGGTTCACTCTGCTAGATCGAGCAGAGTAAACCTTTCCGGGAGAAAATGTTTCTCCCCCAGGTGTCCGGGAGCCGCTGTCTAATAGCGGGAGACTCCCGGAAAGTTGAGATGTCTATATTAACAAAAATGTATCTTATTTGTGTATCATTCGGCTGTAGATCCTCACATCATCTCTGACTTGGCGCTGATACTGTCCTTCCTTCTGGAGGGTGGCTACTTTTGTTCCCCATGGTCCCTGTGTGTGTTGTAAAGTAATAAGATTGCAGTCCATCATGGGAGTAGGGTTGCCACCTTTTCTTCAAGCGAAACCCGAACACAGCATTCAAAACCCGAACTGTCAGGGTGAATCCTGGACAGGTGGCAACCCTACATGGGAGCGAGCTTGGAACGGTGACTACTACAACACCCAGGGACCATGGGGAACAAAAGTAGCCACCCTCCCTTTTCAGTTTAGTGTCACTTTAACCAATGTCCAATGGTTCAGCGCTCCACCAATACGCTTTCTGAAACAGAGGTCATGAAAAGACACTTAGGAATTTGGAAGGTTAAAGCAAATCTTTTGCTTTGCCAAAAACAGCAAAGCACTTTTTTTTTAAACAATTTAGTCACACGCAGCTGTCTCCACACCGTGTACCACGTCTTTGTTGGTCTATAAACTGTTTTTCCAGGTTAACATCTCTTTGCTTTGAATAATAGCCTAGTTTGTCTCTGACAAAATGGCGCCTTTACAGCACCGAGGTATAAGATTCACGTGTGCCCCTAGTGTTCATCACACAGGTCTCCGGTGGGCGGTGTCGCTCGTATTGGTGGCCGCCTACTGGCTTGAGGTGTGCTGACGTCACGGGGCCGGCACTTCTCGCTCAGTTTCGCTGAAGCTTCCGAGGTCGGTGATATTTGTTTTGGGCGGCCGGTTGGAAGGGATCGGATTGTTCTACTAGTCTTTATTCTACGATCTTTGGATACCATGAATAGAATCTTTGGGAAATCAAAGGCAAAAGGCCCTCCGCCCAACCTGACGGACTGTATCGGAAGTGTAAGTGACTGGCATTGCAGACACAATAGAGGAGCTCACACATAGTACACAATGGCTGTCATCTGCCACTATTGTGGGCTGTACTGGTATGGAAGGGGGGGCACACTGGCTGTCAGTTGGTCTGGGATGCTATCCATAGAATCGCCTAACCTGTCACTCTACTAAGACCTCCCACCGTTCCCAAAACAATGGCAGTCATCCCGTGTAGACTCCATAGTAACCCTCCCTCCCCCTGCGTGTGGACGGGCTCATTAATGTCTGTGTGTTGTACACTTCCTGTTTGGGCTTGTGACGGGCCTGTTTCATGTAGAAACCCAGGACACAGATACTGCTTCCTGGTGGGTCTTGTGACTATGAGTCGTGCTCTCAGGTGACATAATCCTTCTCTCATTAGTCACTACTCCACCTTGTGCCTCTGATGGCCTCTTAGAAATATATAATCACCCAGACATTCAAGCTTCTCACATAATGTGTACAGCATAGGACAACCTTTTAAGGACAGCATAGGATATCCTTTAGGGTACAGCGTAGGATATCCTTTGGAGTATAAGAACGTCGCAGGGCACCCTTTGGAGTATAAGAACATCGCAGGGCACCCTTTGGAGTATAAGAACATCCCAGGGCACCCTGTGGGGTATAAGAACATCGTAGGGCACCCTTTGCAGTATAAGAACATCGTAGGGCACCCTGTGGGGTATAAGAACATCGTAGGGCACCCTTTGCAGTATAAGAACATCGTAGGGCACCCTTTGGAGTATAAGAACATCGTAGGGCACCCTTTGGAGTATAAGAACATTGTAGGGCACCCTTTGGGGTATAAGAACAATGTAGGGCACCCTTTTGGGTATAAGAACATTGTAGGGCACCCTTTTGAGTACATCGTAGAACACACCCTTTTGAGTACAAGTACCTCGTAGGGCACATTTTCGGGTAACGCATAAGACACTCTTTAATGTGTAGGACACACTTTTTGGGGCAGGTGTAGGGGCTTTATTCCATGATGGGTTGATAGTATAACCCAGGGGTAGATGACCTTGGCACTCCAGCTGCTGTGAAATTAGAAATCCATCATGTCTTTGGCTCTAGCAGTCATGCCTGTAGCTGACAGAGTTTAGCTATTCCTCATGGGACTTGTACTTCCAAAACAACTAGAGTGCCGAGGTTGCCTACCTCTGGTATTACACCAGCCTGAACATTGATAGAAGCAGGATGGTGGATTTTTGCTGAGTGCACCAAATTTGACATTACTTCTAGAATGTGTTCAGAAATCCATCTATTTTTACATGAAATTAAAATGACTCCCACTATAAAAAAGAACTGTCTGCAGAAATTAGAACTACCGCTTTCCGGTCTCACTGCTCAAGCTGCTGATCTTCACTTGATTGCCCCCATTCATACTTGAGTGTCAGTGTTTTCAGGTGATTTTGCAGCATTTTTTTCAGGCGCTCCAATTGAAATCTATTGGAAATCTCTAGAGTCTCTCCCATCTTCTAGTACTCTTTACCCCAACCTGTCCTTCTATCTCCCACTCTGACTGCCTTTAGGCGATCCCTTAAGACTCATCTCTTCAGGGAAGCCTATCCCACCTCTACCTAACCACTGAACCATCACATTCTCAAACAATTCATCCCCGCGCAGCTCCCTCCTCATGTATCACTTCCCCCCCTCCCCTTTTAGATTGTAAGCCCTCACGGGCAGGGCCCTCCTTACCATCTTGTCTTGAATTGTATTGTGATTGTAATGTCTTCCTTATATTGGAAGCGCTGTGCAAACTTTGCGCTATATAAATCCTGTATAATAATAATTTTGGGCCCAAAACAAGTGTTTCTGCCCCCAAAAAAGTGAACAGTACTTTTACGAGCTTAAAGCGACACAGCACTCAGATGTGAATGGGCACCATTGAAATTAATGGGATTCTTTATGTTGAGGGTTATCGCACTTCAGGAAATGGACTACAAAACACTTGTCAGTTCAGCTGCGACATTAAAGGCCGGAAAGTGATGTGGCTACAGCCATATTAACTCCAGCAGGGCAAGCTGCTCCAGAACAAAGCTCTGTATTACTGAAATCCTTAATTTACGTGCAAGCACTCAGATATCAGACATGCTGGGCAAGATCTGCTGGAAGGAAATCGCTTCCTCAGCCAGCAACCTTTTGGTGCTGCTTTTTCAGCCTGAGAAAAAAAGAAGCTATGTGTTATTGGAAAGGTATTTCCCTGCTTATTATTCATATACTTTGATATACTTGACTGCACTATAGGTTCACTTTATTGTTCATAGTAGCATGAGCATATAATTGGACTTCAGAGTGCATGAATTGAAATCTACTTGTGTTCCCTATAGCCTTTTGTCAAATTTAGACCGGTGTTGGAAGGAATGAAAGGGTAATGCTGGGTACACACCTTACAACCATTGCAAGACTTTTGTCTTGCGATGGTTGTAAGGTAATAAAAAAAACGTACAATCTGCCTATTGGACAGACAGATAGTACTTGCGATGATCGCAAGCCCGCCCCGGTGAGGGGCGGGCTTCCGATGACCGCAATGCTGAACGGGCAGTGTGCGCTTGCGCACACCGGTCCGTCCGGCTTTTATCTTACGAACATGCTACACACCCGCCGAAACTCGTACGATTCTCGGCGGGTTTTCGGACATGTTCCTAAGATAAAAGTCGTGCGACCTTACAGTAGCAGAGGGATTTCCCGTGATTATCGTACGATTATCGCAAGGTGTGTGGGCACCTTTAATCTGATTGGTTGCTGTAGGCCAACAGAGATATTTCTTATTTCAGACATTTTGATAATTGAGGTCGAGTGTTTTTATCATGGTGCCAAGAAGACCATGTGGTTGTTAGACTATCCAAGGCACCACTTATTCAAAACTTTGAACCTTCATAATGCAGGGATTGTGAAATATTGCCAGAAAACTATAAACAAATATTTTATGCTTTCACTTCTTCCCAAAGGTTGATGGCAGAGCAGAGTCGATTGACAAAAAAATAGCACGGCTTGATGCAGAACTGGTGAAGTACAAAGACCAGATGAAGAAGATGAGGGAAGGTCCATCTAAGGTAGGTGCAATACCTCTGTTAGAAACTCATTTCTTCAGCAATTCTCTGTTAATGGTTGGAGCTTGGATACAAAGGAAAGTGTTAAATGTTGGAGCTACCTAGCACCCATTTCTCTGCATGGACAACTCTTCAATGTAAAATGTTGCCAGTGTCATAAGAGGGATTAAAGTGACATTAAAGGCTAATTCCCTTCCCCCACCCCCCCCAATGTTAGTGTAATGACTTGCCTTAATCCGATCATCTTCTTTAGTGTAGTTTTTAGATGTCCCTCCAGCGCTGGTGCGGGTTTCCGATCCAGCGCTAACTCCTCTGTCCTCCTCTTCTCTCATGTCCCATGGAGTCTGTGCGGGTGCACGCTGCTCCATAGACTTACCTTGTGTCTCTCCCCGTCTCCCGGCCGAACATCTGAACTGCGCATGTGCCCGCCCCAAGATTTGCAGCCGCCCGAAATTTCAGATGTTTGGACGGGAGCGCGCGCCGAAGACACAGGTAAGTTTAAATCTGTTTGAAAAGGTGTTTTTTTTTGTTGCTTTTTTGCATATACGCAAGTTTTTGCATACATCTACTGCTTGCTAGCTGTAGATATATGCAAAAACATGCTGAGGGTTTAAAAACTCTTTAATTTCATGCTTTAATGTCAGCTTTGTTTAGTACAGAGTTCCTATTCCAATGTCCACAGTTTTTACAAACTGAGCATATAATCAAAAATAAAGTCCATATGTCAAAATGATCTGTAGATCCGGAAATATAGGCAACTCATGTTATATGTATATTTCATATTTTTTTCTGTAAGACGGGCTTTCTCTATTGGTTCTTAAATGTGATGGGAGGCACTGGAGGTGAGAAGATTAGTGATTGCACCCTATACAGTATCTATGTGCAGAAATTATTAGACTAAACTTTTTTTTCCCCCCGGTAGGCCTTAAATGCATGTGAAATTACAGACATAGAACCAGTCAGTTCAAGAATGCTGGGATTCCTCCAGTGCACTATAATGATTTATAAGATTAAATAAGCTTTCATGCTCACATATGTGTTATGCTAATATATGCTCTATAATAGAGTAACTTCTTTCATTTTATATTTATTTATATCCACACGGTGTTCTACTTTGGGCCTTTTATCCGAGGCCCTAGCTACAACAAAAAAGTGTTCTGCATGTATTGATTCTTACAACTGGTCTGTGCTTCATACGTACCATTTTGCTGAGTAATTAGGTGTGTTTGTCACGTTACCTGTTCTGAAGCAGTTATAAAGATCACATACTATGTATCTGAATGTCAACACCTTTTACTGGAGTCATGCAGCAAGCATGACCTGTCATTGACAAAATATTTGCTCCACTTGCATGCCTTACATTTTCCTGCTGCCAGGTTTGAAGTGTGAAGTTTTCAATGAACAACATATATTAAATAGATTTCACTTTGTTTTAAGCCTTGAAGTGAATAACAGCGACTTAGAAAACATTTGGGGTCATATTTATATAGGAGAGAATGTGCTATTGGCCAAACATTCACTGAGGGTGAATCAAATCACTGTAATTTAAAACACATGCGCCAGATACACCTGCAGTGAATAGTTAGTTAATGAATGTCACATTCACTGTGTGTGTATATATATATATATATATATATATATATATC